TCAGCGTTGCATGGCGCTAAGCGTCTTGGTTACTGTTGGTAAGGCGCGCGAATGGCTCCCTGAATTGATTGAGAATGCCAAGGGATACCAAGCTGGAAGTGGGTTTAGCGCACGATCTGATCTGGGTCCGTTGGTCACACCCCAGAGCCGGGATCGCTGTGTAGACCTCATCTCAAGTGCAGAGAAGGACGGTGCTACTATCGCCTTAGACGGCCGGGACCAGAAACCTGAGGGTTTCCCTAACGGAAACTGGGTATGGAAGACCCAAGTCGCCCGTGTTGCCTTCAACTCATATGAACCGTCCTGCTAACACGTCAATTAATAGGTCGGTCCGACTATTATCACCGGGGTAAAACCCGAAATGAGATGCTACCGAGAGGAGATCTTCGGCCCAGTTTTGCTTTGCATTGAAGCCGATACAATCAACAGCGCGATCGACCTAATCAACAGCAATGAATGGGGCAATGGCGCGGTGATCTTCACCCAGTCTGGGTCTAGCGCAACACACTTCCAGAAGCGTGTCGAGTCCGGACAGGTTGGAATTAATGTCCCCATCCCCGTCCCCCTTCCCATGTTCTCCTTTACTGGTAACAAGCGAAGTGTTGCTGGAACGGGACTGCTCAACTTCTACGGAAAAGACGGTCTCCGGTTCTATACGCAGTGGAAGACTGTCACATCGCTTTGGAGAACTGAAGATGCTACTGACCTTGAGAAGCCAACCTCAATGACTTGACTGGTGATTGGGAACTTGCATACGGTGGGCTTGGAAAACGTATCTTGGGATTAGTTTGGCATCCTTGATAGGCGCAGACATGGCGGGCATTTTTAGCCTTGGAGATCATTGCATGTGACTCAGAGACATAGTATATGTAGGTTAATCTATGGATAGTTTATTGATATTAACAAGAGTAGTTGGCCTCCTATGTGGCCTCTGTCCTTAACATAATCTACCTCCAGATGATGTCTCTACTCTGTTCTCTAATTCAGCAAAACCTCCACTGATAACCGGTGGGTCCACTGCGGGCCGCAACTGTACTAGCGCACCTTTCTCCACTTAAGCGGGGCATGTCTTTTCCTTGTCCTTTGGTGTTGTGAACCTTTGCCATACAACTATCCGGGTTTCAATCTCACTACTGGCTCCAGTAAAGCACTACTGAACCGAACTATCGCGATGGTGATATACTCTTAGTTACCCATCCCCATCGATATCTTTTGAGTCCATCAATTCACCAGAATTTTCGCAGGCCATTCTCTAATCTCAGTGGAGATGCATCATTGAATATTCAACAATGATGCGAGGACCGGAGCTCATAACCATAGGTAGGCAATCACAAAGATATTCTTGATGCCCTATTTACGGCTTTCTTAGTTGGCCTCATTCCATACAATTCTATCGCCACAGAGCGATAAGAGCGATTGCCAATTGCAGCATCAGTTCTGGGACCGCCGGGTATGTCGTTTTCGGTCTTTTAACGCCCGACATGAGTTAATATTGGCATTATAGGAACCGATATTATTCTTGTTGATATAGTTGAAAGGGGTATCAAAGCCGGAGGTCTTCCTTCAAAGTTGAAGACTGGACGCTTCATTTACTAGAAATGTTACTGCGCTGATCGCCGTGCGCTTGTTTCTCTCTGTCCTGTGTAGAGTTTCTTCGACTTCCCTGTTGATATATTTGCGCTTCAGGCAACAGTTTTCATACCAATATTGAGCCTGATTAGTATACTATTGGCCAGATATCTGAGTGAGAATGACCGTGACTTTTGGGGACCACCACGACAACATGATTTTTATCTGGTAGCGAATAAACCCTCTTTCTATTATTCATCTCTTGCCATTTATGATGCTATAGGTAGCGATACCATGGTATATGGTACTTTCTGTATTATCGGATGATATAGATAAGTTGGAGTGATATGTCAGGGCCACAATATATACGATGTTAACAATCAGAGAATAAGCTGAAATTTACATAACTACGTAATCAAGAATATATGACCTCAAACGTGATACTAATAGACAAGGGAGAGATATAATTCGTAATGCGAAGTGGCAGACCAAATTGTGTAATTAAATAAAGTATTATCCGAGTCTGTCGCCTTCCAACAGCCCGGCCGGGCTAGCTCAATCGGTAGAGCGTAAGACTCTTAATCTTAAGGCTGCGGGTTCGACCCCCGCGTTCGGCTATTCCTAAAAACCCAACCTGAGATTTCCTTTTTGCCATAATTTTTTATGGGAATTGGAGGTTATCCACTGAGGGCTGCTCGGGTGAAACGTGAAACCTTGGTTGGAGTCTTGGCACTCGTTACCTAAGCGAGAATTAAAGCCCTGGAAATTAAAGCCCTGGAGGGCTCGCTCCAGAAGCGCGGAGCCTCTTGGTCCACTATGCTCGGAAGGACCTCGGGAATGACGCTGGGTTGGTAATTAGACTGGTTAGAGCATTAGACTGGTTAGAGCAAGGAGAGTGAGCGTACCCATCCATCAACATCCGAGAGTGCCTCAGTGCCCACCGATTCGTTGATACGGTCGCCTAATCTGCCTGATCATAACCTGACAAAAGAATTTCTCGATATTTTCGGGTGTGGGAGCCTCAAAATGGCTGTGATAGCAAATCATCCGGTCAAATTGAATTCAAGGCTCGAAAGCAGGGGGATAAACATGTTCTCGATATGCCTCTTCCCCGAATTACCATACATTGATTGATCTAGTTCCTAGAGTCCGCCATTAGGGACTAGCCATGGACAGGAAAGAGGGAAATGAGTACAAATCTCCATAATGGACGATAAGTCTCCACCGACCCAAGAGCAAGTTCCGATATTCAGCAAGTGCCGCCATGGATTTTCACACAGCCAAATCGATCCCAGCCCGTAGGAAGTTTCACACACTGCTGATCGGAGTTCTTGGAGATACGAACGCCCACGCAATTTCCGTTTCTATCGGGTTTTTCCTTGTAGAACGATGCTGTCGCTTTTTGGAAGTTGAGTGAGAGTCTTTGGACTTTGTAGTTTTGTGACAGCCCCGTGCTTCCACAGGCGCTCACTGAGCCCACGTAGTTCTCCTGCTTGCAAGAGGTGCCTTTGTATGCCTTGACAACTGTGGCATCTGTAGAGGCAAGAAGAGAGGCCAGAAGGGTGGTGATCATAAGAAGTTTCATGATGGAATAGATTTCAAGTATTCTGACTAGAATATAACGGCTTGTTGAGAAGTGAGAGCTGGTGACAAGTCGCGGCTTTATATGTTTGCAGATGCCATAATTCGACGCGGTATTTGCTCCCTGGATGTCTGACATGAAGTATTGAACCAGTTTAATCCAATGAGAAATCGAGTAGAAGGCCCAGCCGAGTGGTGTATAAAGTACTGCTCGTATTGATGTGTGCCAAGTAGACTAAGAAGGGAATACGAAAGATGAACTCAGTTACCCCGGCCACACTTGATGCGATGTAACCTCTGTCGGTATTGAGCCCCGAATGGGGTCAGGCCTCAGGAACACACGAATTTTCCTCAATATGATCAATTTTCCGAGTCGAGATGTAAGAGGTTCTAGGTCTGAGAGAAAATTCAATGGCGAAGAGAAGGCGAGTATGTGTTTTCTAGTATAGGATAGATGGAAATTAGATTTACTAACACAAGCAAAGAGCATTCTTTCTCGAACCCTCTTTGGAAACGCTATCTCTATTAGAGTTAGAGTTAATCTGCCGATTGGTCTCTGCTCTTGTCTGGAGATGTGGGGAAAATTCGATCCCAATGCTGTCAACCACTCACCCCTCTAGATTGGCAGCTATAGCCGAGAGAGCTGTATAGAGACAATAGCATTGGGTTTCAATTTCTAGCTGCTTTCAGCATACTTAGACGTGCATCTGCTAGCCTTTAACTGGTCGAAGTCGTGTTAACTCTGGATTCGCGAGAGTTTTGATACGACAACAACAACCTCTAGTTCGTATCTTAATGACCATGATTCTCAGCCGCATAACCTCGACCCCGCGGACTAGTATTCGCAGTATACCCCCGCTCTAGGATACCACGGCCGCATGCCCGCGTTAAGGCGTGGGCTTAGCCCTTCATCCGGCTATCACTTTAAAACGGTCTAGAAGTCCTAGCATATCACCAACTAGAAAGCCTAGACTGCTCCGCTATCCGAGCGGTGTAATATAATGTTAAGGGATAAGGTCCTAGCAAGCTGCATCTAGTATACGACAAAGTTGAAAGTAAAGGTGAATAAGAAGCTATCTTACCAGATATAGAAGGGGACGTAGCCCTGACGCCGAGTCCTTACTAGCTGATGACCCTTGGGGAAATTATCAGAAGGGAAGACTATAAAGGAAGGGTGTCAGACGACACCTCGGTGAATGACCGCTCCTAACATGACTTAATAAAACGGTTTGATTATCTCGGCGTCGATTAGACTACCGTGGGAAATAACTACTCAGATGAGGGCAACTGTTCCTTATTATGCCATCTCGGCCCATACTGCTAGTAGGACTAATGTAGGAAGATTCATTATAGACTGCGAAACTGCCATTTGAAACTTATGAAGATGGCTCCGACAATTTTTGCAAAGATTTACATCTAGAAAAAGCAGTATAGACTAGAGAGGCAATATAAGGAATAAGAGATAGTTAGGCACCCTAAGAAGCCGCCTTACAAATATCAATTTCAATGGGACGCAGTGTTCCCCTGAGAGGCGCACAACTCAACTGCAATCCTAGAATAATGCTTTGATGTTGGGCTGGAAAAAGGTCTATATCTTCTTATAGGAGGACTGGTAGAGGAAAAGCCAGGTGACACCGAGTAACGCGATTGCCGCACTGACCCCTCGCCCTACGAGCCTGTCCGAAACACACCGTCTTTTAACACCTGCATATACCCTTGCTGCATCACCGTGATGTGTTGTCCAAGTGTAATATCATCAGGCGCGCGGTCTAAAGGTCTGTTTAAATAAGCCTCCATTCTCAACCTCTACTCGCAGCTTCGCTCTACTAAAATTTGAAGATCTCGTTTCTATGGACGACTCTAAATTTGCGAACGGGCCAAGGGCTCAGAATCCAACCGCACAAAGGTTGGGGGAAGTGCTTTCAGCATGGCTTCCTAACAGACCCGAGGGGCTTTACGATCAATATTTGCAGACACTCTCTCCTGACTATGATCATTTGTTGACATATTCGCGATATGACCGAATCTGGCGTTTCTCCAAACATAGCCCTCATAGCCTGTCCTATCATTCTCAGATTTCTCTTCTGTCCTCTCCGGTACTCGTAATAGATATCGGCAACAACGATCGAGTTATACGCAATCGTCAATATGATGGGACAGACCCTGATTCCATGAGAGCTAGAATCACATCTGTCCAATGCGAATTCTGATTTGGAGGATCGCCGTCGCTGTCGCATTATCTGCACACAACATATCACTTGCTTGAGCATGGAGGCGTTAGGCACTGGGCTTTCATTAGACCCTAATGTCTTCAGTCATCATATCGGGACGTCATTCAAAGACATTGAAAAGAGCACGGGTATTTATAAGCTCTGTAACACAAAGATTGAACAGATCCCTTCGTCTGTCGGCACCTTCGAGCACGAGAGAAACCTACAAATCCTCAAAACGCTCCTAGGGCGACTTTCCATTGCCAATGTCGAGCATGCAAAAGACCTCACCACTCGGGACTCAATTGTTAAGTCTGTTTACCATCATCAAGATCATCCTATCACATTTTCTGTGGATGTGCCGCGAACGATATACGTGCAAGGATATCAATCCGAGGACGATAGAACAGAGCCTACTGCAAGACACCTACGTGCAAGAGTGTTGGCACTACAAGACAGAGTGCTAAATCGGCGCATTTCTCGGCAGCGATTTGTGGACGATAACATGTTTTGCGACCAAGGGGAACGGTATTCACAAAACGGCCTCGACATTCTACAGCGCATTACCATTCATGTCGTAGAAGACAGCCTCAACCCGGAATGTCAACAAGGTATGGATGGATAAGTTCATGTGTAACACATTATAAAAAGCGCCTAATTTACTAATTTACTAATTCACTAATTTTGGTAGTCTTGGTTTTATTTCCACTCTGTCCGGACCTTGATGGAAACGATGCATATGGAGACAGTGCAGGCAACGATCCTCATGTTTTTCTCGACCCTCTGACCAAGCAAGAAAGTACGAAATCATTCAAGGAATTCCGTTTAAACCGGGACGAAAGGGGCAATGGATCCACTGAGATATCTACGGCATCTCGACGGACTACGTCTCAAGACGTTGACATCTTCGCTAATGATGTTCTTGAGAATCAAACTGGTACACCCAAAGGACTGACGGATACTGTCCACCTTATACGACCATATGCGCTGAATGCATGGTTTGATCGCCTGCAGACATTGAGAGACCAGCTTGAAGATTTTAGTCTACAAAGCTTATCCCATCGAGAAACACCACACAAGAAAGATCCGCAGGATGAAGATGAGGAAAAACACACAGTCGATGGACTCGTTGACGAAGAAGGGATCAAAAGTGCTATTCTTCGCTACATCTCGTCACTGGATGGTGAATGCCAGCGGTTGAAACTTGATTTGCGTTCAGCGAAAATCGGATCATCCACAAACGATTTCGAGCTGTTAGATCAGACGACGGAGAAGTACACTTGCATCCGATCGGAGATGGGCAATCTTCTGTCTGAAACCCAGCATTTACTTGATATGAAGAACCGCAAGATACAACAAGGCTTAATGACTCTCCAAATCAAAGAAAGCAGAAAGTTCATCGAGCAGGCAACAATGGTGAAGAGGTATTATACCAGGCTACCTTGAGAGAATTAGGACTGACAAGTGCTAGGCTTATTATACTAGCCTTCTTTTTTATACCATTATCCTATATCTGCTTGACATTTGGAATGAATGCTGGGTAAACGGATACTCGGCGTTGACAACTACTGGATGTGTTGAGAATGGTTGCTCCAAAGGCATTGTTATACCATCCACTCCCCACAATTCTTGCGGCCTAAACCGAATAAATCATCCTGGAGTCTCGAAAATGTGTCTCCTCCCTTGTAAAGTCTCAAACTGCTTTCTCGTATCCCATTCTTTAACTATTAAGCTTGATGGCTCGGGAGCAAGTTAGTTCCTAATCCATCCATGGATACTGTTTTAGAGACTTTATTAAGCAATAACCGAACCGCTCGGTATTCTATTCTGTTATTATTATAGTTTTTATAATCGCAAAAGTTGATCTATACTTTTATTAAGCGATTAGTTCCGGCTGGTGACGCAATATGATTTTGCATAGCTGGACATCAACTATGCGGACAGGTTATGCAAACAGTTCAACAATTCTCAGATAAAACTAACTTCGGGATAAAGATACTTGACAGCTCTTCCTCAACCTCCTCACCGGCCCGGCCAAAATCAAAACCCCAAGACTTGAACCCCAGGTCCAGTGCGTCCTCGTCGCTGGCGGCCTTGCCCTCGCCAAAGCCCTTCAGATCCCACTTCTCAACACCCTGAAAAATCCCTCAACTCGTTTCCGAACTGCCGGAACAGCTCGGCGCTCAGCTGCTCATATTCACTGTAATCCTTGGGCCAATCACCGAGGCGCTGTAGGGCAAACTTGAACAGGAGCAGATGCCGGCGGACGTGCTCGCCGTCGGAAACGGAGGTGCCATTGGTGTTGTCGGTCAGATCGAGCTCGTCGTTGGAGTCATCCATGCGCATATTGCTGACGGGACTGCCCTTGAGTTTGGCGAAGGGTAGGTCGGCGAAGATGCGCAACAGGTCCTCGTGCACGCCTGCGCTCTTCCTGTAGTACTTGTTTGCTAGAGCCTCGCCTTCCTTGTGGGGCTGGTAGCGCTCCGCGAAGTTGGTTTACGGCTGCGAGAGAAGAATCGACATTTCCAGAGTACTCCGGTGGCGAGCACCCTTCATGCGGCGATAATTGTACACAATTTGCTCGGCCAGGTGCATGGCTCTAAGAGTGTCGCCCAACAGATAGATGGCCAGGATGTAGCGCCGATCCAGCTGAAGGGTGATAGTGGGAGACGACTCGTCCATCCGTTTACGACGGATCCAGAGACCACCCAGAAGCCAGACCAGCTTCTTAGAGTCCTGCTTCTCACTAAGAAGGTCAATGAGGCTGTTCAGACAGTCCAGTCTAGTGTTTAATATCTCATCTGGCAAGGGTGCTTGATCGCCTAAGGCTTGAACAGCAGCATGCCTCATGCCTCCATCTGGGTCTTCCAACCGTGTCACCATGGCTTTGAGCGTCTCCTCTGACAAGTTTGGTTGACCGCGTAGGACTTGAAAGGCAGCGTGCGTCGCGTAATCTAGGTCTCTGAGCCCTGCCTCCACGGCTCCGAGTATCTCCTCTGGCCAGGTCAGTTGACCGCCTAAGGCTTGAACGGCAGTGCGATCTGGGTCTTCCAACCATGCCGTCATGGCTTTGATCAATACCGAGTTTTGGTCTCCATCCATTGTTCTCCAAGACGAGAATTCTGAGGTATATCCCGCTTCTTCGCTATTGAGGAGCTTCGAGAAATCGGCCGGAGTCTGCCCATAATCTCCAGCTTTAGAAAAGGCGAGCCTGCTTGCCTCTGAGTCTGTACCGCTGTTTGTGCCTTTAGACTTAAGTCTCGCCACCTGCACTGGGCCTCCGGAACCTCCAGTTTCTTCATCTTCCGTCTTTGGCGGATCTGGGACAGAATTGGACCGGCCTTGGCAATGGCTGCGGGCGCCTAGACTGTCCGCGGTCGGACGTTGGTGTTCGTATTGTGAATATCTGAGACAGCAACTGTAGAGAAACTTTGTTTTGACAAGACTGACTTCGGCCCTTCGCGCAAGACATCGGGATCGGGTGGCTTCAATGTCCACGGGTAGCTGGTTGGCTTAGTGGTCACTGCTTTTCTTCCATTTGTTTGCCATGAACTTGCAACGGGGCTACGTTGGTCGTGTCCTACTTGAGACCATACGGATAATCCGTCCAATGAAGCTACTCTCGTTGTCTTGTGTTTGCTCCTTCAAGCCGCTGGCAGAACCACAAAATATCTTCGACAGCATCCTTTGTCAATACCTGTTCCATAAGAGCGACATCCTCGTCCTCAAATGCAATACACCACCCGCTCTTGGTCGGTCCAGCCGCCCCATTGTAGCACCTTCTCCACTATGTGGCCGTCGTCATAGTGGCCGAAGCAGACATTTAGTGGCAAGCTGTCCCGGTCGCTCAGCGTGGCTATGTTTGACTTTGAGTTAACAGAGCGGATATATTTATCTGCAATCTTAGGGCGCCGTAGCAAAGCAGACAGCTCGTAAAGTGATCGGATTTGCTCCAGAATCTGCTGGACGAGCTTTGGCATCCTATGACTTTGGTGTTCGCCATCGTCGTTCGAATCAGAATCAGAATCAGAATCGGCATTGACACTGCTGATCGAGTTGTAGTCTATCCGATCACGGGATCATACTTCCTTCTAGCGATATACGTTACTAAAGCAGGGTCAGACGAAGTCTTAAGTGTCCGAAGTATGCAACTTGCCTTGGCCGAGGAGAGTTTTCAGCCGTATGAGGATGGCCTGCACAAATCTTCCAGCTCATTGTCGTGCCGGAGTGTGTCATCTAAAGAGCTACGACCTCTTGCGGAAGGTCTGCTTTGGCCTGATTACCTCATACGCGTGCCCAGGTGTAAAGCACTTTCTGTGGTGTGAGGCAGCAAGGTGACAAGCCCTGGCATCTCTTTGGTTTGAGATATTCCTATTCTTGTGTATCCTCCAATAGCCCAAGATTTCCTAAAATAAACATTTTGAACGAAGGGTTATACGGTGCTTTTGGTACTCATTTTACTCCCTTCCTGATGCATTTCTACATAGCCTCAAACCATCTACAGAATTCATCTAAATTTAGGTAATCTAAGGTAGTATGCTACCCATCGATATATTAGGCGGCGGCTGGCTGGTAGCAGAAGCCGGGGTACATATATGTTCTTCTGCCTTTTTAAAGCCCCCAGATTTTCTTCTCCAAGGTATTTCTATTTCCTCCCTGATACCAGAGCTCCATACAATAATCTTTTAACTACTTTTTGAAGGCCAAGAATCGAAGACAGTCCCCTACTGCCACGACCGCCCTCTACAATACGCTCATGCCAGCCAAGCCAAGATGTACTCACCTCTGTCATTGAATTGAGAACGAGCATGCTCACCAGATATTAGTCCAACGGCTAGATGATATGGCAACAGGGCTCCTCAACTTGTCAGAGAATAAGCTCACCGATACTGATTACCTTCTGCTTGCGGAGGTAATGCTAGAGATGGGCCGGTTATGTACAGAGGGGACGCAGGTAACTACAGAGTTGGCAAATGTTTATAAGGAACGCACCGGTCAAAACACCGAGCTCTATACCGCCATGCTAAGACTCACTGTTAGTCAGTTCGACCGGGCCTATGCTTCTTTTGGGCGGGATCCAAACCGGCAGATGCGACACGAGCTGGCTTAGGACCATAAGGATCGGGACTGCTATGGCAGAGGTCGTGGATACAATTCTCAACGCTCTTTGGCCAAGCAAATAGAGAAGCTGGAGATTGCCCGTGCGATTCTCCGTGCTCTCGTGACCGGTTCTTCGAGCTCTCGGCAAAGATGGATAAGATCAATGATAAACTTGGCCAAAGCCTTCAATCCCATGATACGGCCAATGTTTTGAAGACTGATGATGTTCCCGCTAAGCCAAGGAGCTTTTGGAAGAGAATTTTGAAGCATTCAGCTCGGCCTTGCTGGTAAAGTGGAATGAGGGTCTCTGGAGTGATCAAACTATGATAAGAACGCTGGATATTGGTGTTTATCTTGCTTTATACTAACTTGAACGATCAATGTGAATGTATATTCTTGGTGTATGGGTTGTTTCTGTGTGCTTGATTTGAATTTCCAATACCATCTTTTTTTGAAACACTTCTCCCCGTGAAATAGAAGATTTTATATCACGGTCCACAAGTCCAATACTCAGGACTCCCTCAAATATTTCTTTTTAGATCCACCATGGTGGTAGATCAATGAGGATTTTCTACAAGGCCTAACTCTGGTGGACAAAGAGCCTACAGTGAAGAGCGAAATGCATGTTGCAGGAGGAAAATCAAGGTGCCCCAAGGCGCCGACAGTATGAATTCAGACATGGTCACCTCCGAAGAGGGCCAGTCGTCCAAAAGAAAAAAGAAAAAGAAAAAGAAAAAGACCCCCTCCCTCTCTCACTTCCCCCTCACACCTTCACCAGTTTTCTTCCTTCATCTCACCTCACTGAGGTTCTCGGAGAGAAGCAAAAACGGTCAAAAAGCCCCAAAGGAACGCCACAAAAAGAAACCTCTCTCCCCCTATATGCGTGGTACTTCCGTTTTCATTCAGCTCACCTCGCTAAGGTTCTCGGAGTGAAGAAGACGGTCAAAACAACCGAGCAACGCGGTGGAGTCAATACCCCCTCATTCCGCCCGGGGAAGCGGCACCGGGGGACTCGCAAAGCCGACGAGCTCCTTAACACCACGGCCGGCATTGCACATGGTGGTGGTGAGGCCGTCTGCGGCCTCCGGCTTGGGGCTGGCGGCAGGCGAGGCGAAGCGGGGATCGCGTATCCGCAGGGACCGGGACGAACTTGACGTCGCCTCAACCTGCGCCGAGCAGGACGGCGCCCGCCACGAGAAATATTAAGGCCCAAAGGCCTCCTGGCAGTTTCCCCATGTTTTCGATGGCGGTGACGGGGGTGGAGGGAGGAGGAGAGGGTGGCACAGACGGCTCCCGGACGAGGGTGGTGGTGATAGTCATGGTGATGGTCGTGTTTGTGTACGCCATCGTGAGAATGATGTTGAGACGGAAAATATCTGGGCCCCTGGGGGAAACACGATATACCCCAGGTTCGTGCCTGCCAAATCTTTACTATGTGCGTCGTAAATACGTCGGTAGCTTCCCATTCCACGAAGCAGTCCGATCTAGTCTCATTTGATCTGGTTTAAGCTGAATTTGCACATCACTTGGCAGCGATGACAGAATAGCTCTTTCCTCAAATTCAACCTCAATCTCTCACTCCAGGGCTCCCACCCGCACTGACATAACTATATAGCTTGCCCAGGTGTTGCCCAGGTGATCTCCCCTACATGATATTGTTCGCCTTGCTTTGAAATTTCCATGCATATTCTTATGCCAAAACTCTATTGTCCCAAAGGTCTTACATGACTCAGATAAATGTCTACCTAGGTAGTTGCCCGGGTTCCCAGCTCTAGCTTTGGCTTACCTCTTAGGTTTTAGTACCCACAAGACGAATACCTTATTGCAGATGCTTTTAAAGGACATTTCATTGAACTTACTAACTTTTGATTGAATGAGTGAGCGATAGAGCTTTAGGCGACGTGCGACGAAGGCAGATATCCGAACATTCAAGAAGAGAACAACTTCTTCTCGTGGCTGTGTAAGCCATGAACATTACCCTCGGTCTGCGCGCTCGCGCTTCTCATCTCAAAGCGGACTGATCCGTTGTTCACCCCGTCATGCAGGGCGTGAAGATTCTGGACACCAATATCCTGGAGAGAGTGCTGCACACCGGCGACAAGGTAAGGCACATACTGAGTAATAGAGCCGCGGTCAATGACGGAGCCCGCAACACCCTGCGCAACCTTGACCTTATTGTTCTCAGAGAAATACCGCGAAGCGCCAGCGTTTTTGCCGCCACCACTCTTACCCTTATCCTCCATAACCGCAATACTACCCATACCACGGAAGGCCTTGACCAACTGTCCTTCATTGCTCACATAGTACTCGCCAGGAGACTCAGTAGTACCGGCAAGCAAGCTTCCCATCATGACTGCCGAGGCGCCTAGTGCAAGGCCCTTCACGATGTGGCCCAGGTTCTGGACACCACCGTCGGCAATAGTGGGAACACCAAACCGCGCAGCAAAGGCAGAGACACTGCGGACGGCTGCAGCCTGAGGGCGACCAACGGCCATGACTTCCTGCGTGATGTATGCGGACCCGCTGCCCATGCCGATCCGTAGACCGTCCGCACCGGCAGCAATCAGTGCGGCGGCTTGCTCCCGGGTGACAATGTTACCCGCAATAACGTCAATATCTGGGAATGTTTGCTTGATGTATTTGATCATAGCAACCTGATAAATGCTATGGCCCTGGCTACTGTCCACGACGACAATGTCAAGACCCGCGTCAACAAGCTTCTAGAGCCGCACCTTATCGGCGTCGTGGGTGCTCACGGCCGCGGCGTAGAGCAGTTGCTTAGATGGAAGCTTCGATGTAAGGGGATAGTGGATGTTCTTCATCAAGTCGCTCCGGGAGAGCAGGGAAACTAGGAATCCTTCCTTGTCCACAATTGGTAGTTTGCCTTTCTTCGAACTCCTGAGGACTTCATTGGCTTCGGCTAGAGTGGTGCCTGCCGGTGCGGTGACGAGATCTGTCGCCATCACGGCTGTGACTGGATCCTCGGGCTTCTTATGGAACTGAATGTCTCTGCTAGTGACAATGCCGAGAAGTCTCGAATGGAGGGTACCCTTTTCTAGAAACGAAACAAGTTAGCACGCACCAAACAGTCTGGGAAGGGAGGAGAAGGAAAAGGAATATCCAGCTAACCAGTCACTGGGAACCCGCCGAATCCCCATTTAGTCTTCAGTTCCTTTGCTTCTCCGACTGTTGTGCTAGGAGACAGAACAACAGGGTCAAGGATGAAGCCATTTTTATGGCGTTTCACGTTTCTCACCATCTCGGCCTGTTCATCGGGCGGGCAGTTATTGTGAATAGCACCTAGACCGCCCAGAAGAGCCATATGGATAGCCATGTTGTGCTCGGTCACGGTGTCCATGGGAGAAGATACGAGAGGGGCCTTGATCGTGAACCGTCGGGTTACTTTAGTATCCAAAGAAACCTCCGATGGAGGGAAAGCTTTCCGTGATATTAGAATCAATAACCGATGTAAAAAGGTTCAATGCCTTACTGATAGAACCTGGCAAAATGAGGAAGTCATTGTAGGTCAAGGCTCCATGACTGTCAGAGTCCAGGAGAGTGTCGACGTGGAGGCCATCTCCGGAAGGATACTCCTTGAGCACCTCCAAACCCGTGGAAACAAGAAATACAGGGATAAAAATACTATTGGAAATGGAAGAAATGGGGAAGTGAGTTGTTCCCGAAGAAAATCAGAGCGTGAGGGGGGCCATTTAATTAGGGCCCAAAAGTGGCACATTTAGCGAAGCGCCTAGTATGTACAACATCCGATCTGTGCCGCTAAAGGACCATTTGAATCCGTGGGTTCAAATGGCTAGTGAGCCTGTTATACGCTCGTACTGACACGCTAGCAGGGGTAAGAGTAGTGACCAATGAATGCGAAACTAGTCATATTTATAGATCGTCGGTGTGGAACTAAAGACGCTTGATCTACCTACACCATACCCAAACCAACGTACAGGCCCACAGTACCCCGGTGTCTAGACCTCGTCTAGACAGGGGACATTGGTGGGAATCGGGATTCGTAACTGATTCAAAATTCCACAAACTCCACAACGGTGTCGCCGAAGCCCGGACTCCAGCCCTCCCGCTTAACCGAAGTTTGAGTTGCGCTAAGAAGATCGCCCTATGGAGATCTCTAGGGAACATAGTCTTGAACGCCAGGGGGAAGGAAAAAAGATTACGAGCCGGAATCAAGGCCCCAGTCAGGTACTTATCACCCTGGCTTGGGTAGATGTGCGGAGGGACATCCATCATCTTGTCACCCCTTCTCATCCCGTTCTCACCTCTGTCACCTCGGTCTCCAGAGTTCTCACCCATATCACCCACACTCACCGTAAGACATTTTTTTCTCGCCACCTTAAATGTTCAAGGCGCCTCGAGAATCGACCGCGTTGAGTAATGGGCTTAAGTACGGCTGAGCGGACGGGAAGCCCTGTTTTCCGCACCCTATGGTTGTATGTATCAGTTTACGTGTTGAAGAGATTATAATAGACACTACAATTCCAGGCCAAGCCCTAGAAGCCGATACAAACCCTGAGGAGTCATTATATGTGACAGAAAAGATCATGTTCAAGCAGTCTTTATCGTGAAGGGTCATGAGGTGTTGTTCCAGAGGATGATAGTCCATAAATCGCAACAAAGCTAGTAGTTTCCATTCTATATATATAATCAAGTAGTATATCCATATAAAGAAGTCTATCCCCAAAATGAAATAAAAACGCCATCACCGCAATGTCTCTGCCAATTTGGCGCCCAGCTCTTTCACGCCGGGGTTTCTCATCATCGTGAAGTGATCGCCGGGAATCACTGCGCATGTCATGGGGACTCCCGACACTAAACTATCCCAGCCGTTGGGCCCGGCATTTCCTCGTGGGTCCAGGATCCAATCTTCGGCTTGGTTTCCGCGAATGCGGGCTAGATCTTGGAATTGAGACTTCTTAGCTTCGCCCACTGTCTCCCAGACTCCGTTCTGCGCCCACAGAGCCAGGACCGACTTAGGTCCTTGGCTCGAGAAAGGGATTGGCTTGGGTTCGTAGGCTTTCAGTGCCTTGATTGAGCCGATGAAATGTTCGCGGACTGTCCGAGGAATGGAGCTCTGCTGCGATGTGGTTGAGCCGCGCTTGTCATTCTTCAGACCGTCGAACGCCCCGATCGTTTCGAGGAGATCAACTGTCTCGATTGGGAGAGGTGGGTACACACTCGGACACGGGGCGTCGATTAGGACCAGCGACTCGATTCTTTCGTGCTTTTGGATCAACTGCGACGCGGCTTCGAATGCAAAGGATCCGCCGATCGACCATCCGCCCAAGCAATACGGCCCGTGCGGCTGGATGCGTTGAATCTCGCGGACGTACATGGTGGCCACTTCTTGGATTGAGCAGTTGAAGGAAGATGGTGATTTCAGAAATGGGCTGTTCAATCCATAAACTGGACCGGGGGCGTTTAGCGAGGGCAGCCCAACATAGCTGCTCGCACTGCCGGAGCCATCAGGCAGCAGGAACAGCGATGCCCCGTGGGAGGCCGAAGGAGACCCCTGAAGCAGAATCGCTTCGGCCTTGTACTCGGATGATGATGAGCTGGATCGATCTTGAATCTTCTCGAGGGCCTTTGCAAGCTGTGGGGGTGACACCTCGGGTGCAGCGTGACGGCCATCAAGGGCGATTTCGATCTCTGCCAGGGTTGGGTGGTCATTCAGGAAGCTGGACGGCAGTACCCTACCGGTTTGGGTCTTGATGGCGCTGATGATCGAGATTGAGAGCAGGCTGTCCACGCCGAGTTCCGCCAGAGGGACGTGCTCATCGATCTCATCCACGTCAACCTCCAGTTCATTGGCGATGATCTTCCTGATGTGATCGGTTGACCTCACGCCCCCATTAGCGGGAGATTCAGCTTCGGTAATCGGAGTGTCCGGTTGGGTATCTTCGTCACTGCTGGAGGGTTCGCCACCGCTGTCGCTGCTGTCATTCGAAGGCACGGGTGCGGTCTCGGTTGAGGGAGAGAGATAACCACGAAGCTCTCGAACTGATGGGAAGTCCACGAAGAGCGAGCTTGGGATCTCTTGGTTGAGCTCGCTGCCCAGTCGAGCAGTAATGCTGATTGTGAGAAGACTGTCGACACCCAAGTCCGCAAACATAACGTCGTCTGCAAGCTCAGACACATCGACACCAACCTCGGAAGCAATGATCTGGAGCACATTGCTGTGATTTGGCGCGGCGGTAACTGTCTTTGTCTTGACGACGGTTGTTGGTCGCTGCGTAACAGTTTGAACAGGCTTCCTCTCGACCACCTTCCTCTCGACCACGGTGGGCGCAGTCGCCGGAGTGGGAGGTAGCAAGTGATCTAGAATCGCGCGCTTGATACGCTGGAACTTGAGCTCTTGGCAAACAGCAACCACTTCACCGTCATCCAAAAAGAACACATCACCGGACAGGACACCCTTGGTCTTGGTCTCCTGCATGCGCACATAACTCTGGTAGTTCTTCTTTTCAGAGAGCTCCCCAACGATCTTCATGCTCTTCCACCCATGCGAGATGTACACACTGTCGGCAGGCGTAGTATCGGCACCATTCAACACGAAACCAGACAGATGCGCCAGACTATCGATCCAGTACGGGCTGTACGTGAAGGTGCCATCTTCTGGTGTGGTGCGGAAGCGGACCTTGGCAGTAGCCTCCAAGAGATCGCTGTCCATGTAGACCTCCTGCATGCCCTGGTACTTGTCGTCGTAGTCGACCAGAGCAGCGAACAGCTTGTATACCATCGGTCGCAGGACTTTGTGGACATCTCCACAACTTGAGTCCTTAATCAGCTGGTTCATCCGGGATTTGACAAGGTAGCTTGTTCGCGCCCATTCAGACTTCCATACTTCACCGTCGCCGCGATCGACACGGCAATGAGCATGGTCCTGGTGAGAGCCGCCGTCCTCGGATGCGAACTTCACCTCGATGGAATGACTGGAAGGCTCCAACGTGGCAGTGACCCGGATGATCTGCTTTGTTGCGCCTGGCTGAATCAAAAGGGGCTTGTGCACTTCCATGTCTCGGACGTCCATGGGAGCAATCGCCGCCGACGGATCCAAGGTCCTTTGGATATAGCCAGCCGCCGTGAATGCCATGTCGGCATAGACTGAGCTAGGGCATAGACCAGCACCATTAACAAGGTGGCCTCGCAATGCCTTGTTCAACTTGGGCTCTGCTGCATCGGATGCAAATGTGACCGAAATTCCGGTCTCGCCATCGCGAACGAGACTCTCAATGCGATGAAGTCCACTCGTGGAGAAAGCAGGCAGCAAAGGCTTGGTCGGCACCGGGGTAGTCTCGGATGAGGCGCCCTTTCGAATGGCCCAGTCACCCTCGTACTGCAACCAGTAGTTCTTGAGATCAAACGCGTAGTTGGGCAGCTCAAGGAGATTCAGATCTTGCTCATATGGACGATGCACTTCCCTCCAGTCGATATCCACACCTGCATCGTACGCCAATGCAATAGATTGCGTCATGGTCTTCCAATCGTCCTCATCTCGCTTCAAGGACGGTAGGAGAACCTGATCCTTGCCTGCGATGTTCCGGATCATACCGAGGCAAAGTGGACTTGGCCCGATTTCTATCCAGACTGGTGAGGCTCTGTTACCTGCGTGCAGGGACTCAAGGGCCTGCACGGCCTGGGTGAATTGGACCCTTTGTCGGGTCTGGCGCTTCAGATACTGGGAGTCGACAATGCCACCTGTAGTAACTACTGTTCCCAGCTGGGTAGATGCGAATGGAATAGAAGGCGTCGCGAAATGGATGGTCTCAGAAATGCTCACGAGGTCATCGAGAAGGGGTTCCATCTGAGCCGAGTGGAATGCGTATTGAACCTCAAGCTGAGTAGACTTCTTCTTCTCCGCCTGCAGAAGCTCGTGCAAAAAAGCGATTTGATCAATTGGCCCACTGACCACGGTGGAAGTTGGTCCGTTGACGCATCCGATTTCGCACTCAGACAGGTTGTCATTGTTGCTCAGGATGTTTTCGAGGTTGCCTTCGGTCTCCTGGGCCGCCAGCATAGAGTGCGAAGCAGCTTGGCACTTTTCCAGCATCAGGGAGGCTCTGGCTCCGACGAGATAGAGACAGTCGCTGACGGAGAGGACTCCTGCAACACATAAGGCGGCATATTCTCCCAGGCTATGACCGATCACAGCGGTGGGTACAGCACCCATCGATCGCCACAACTCCGCGAGGGCAAGCTCGACAGCGACAATAGACAATTGAGCCTGAACGGGGGTTGCAGACTTGGCGCTCATTGCAGGATCAACGATGATCGGCAAGAACGACGGGAAACCATGGGCAGTTGATATCGTATCACAGTCCAGAATCGTTCCGCGGAAGGTGGGCTGGGTCGTGAACAGATCCTTTGCCATGCCAGCGCGCAGTGACCCTTGGCCAGTGAAGGCGAAGACCACTGGCCGGTTGTTCGCAGGCTTGGCCCACTGGGAGCCATCTGCAGACTGCCTTTCCAGCTTGGCGATAAGATCATCGACCGATGAGGCGACGAGTGCACGGCGAACATTGTAGTGCATTCGGCGAGCGGTCGTTGTGTAGGAAATATCCTGTAGACGGACCCCGAGCTCGGCATTCTGCTTCAAATGAGCCAGCAATTGTCGCAGGTTGTTAATAGCTGATGTTGGGGTCTTTGCGGAAACCGCGACTACATGGTGGCCTCTGGGATCGAGGATAGCAGGATCGGTGGACGCGGACCGTGGGCGGGCAGGAGGATCTTCGATGAGCATGCTCGTGTTTCCACCGGCCGCATCGAAGTTATTGATCAAGATCCGTCGCTTGCCGTCGCCATCGGCCCTGGGCAAGAAGGGAGTTTTCCCGAACGAGATGTGGGTGTTGAGCTCAGCGAGTTTGGGCAACTTCTGGTTGATGCGACCTTTAATACCGATGTGCGGAGGGATCATGTTCTTTCTCAGCATCATGATCGCCTTGATCAGAGAGGTGACTCCACTGCCAGCTTCTCCGTGGCCCAGGTTCGGTTTGACAGTTCCAATATAAAGAGGATTGGAAGCAGTTCGACCGCGCGCCAGGACGTTTGTCACGGATCTTGACTCAGTCGCGTCGCCTGCCTGGGTGCCAGTTCCGTGCAACTCAGCATAGTCGACATTGTGAGGCTGAACACCGGCCCTGTCTAAGACTGCCGTAAACAAGCGCTCTTGGGTCTCTGCGTGGGGATGAGTGATGGAGACGGCCTCGGCGGAATGATTGGTTGCCGTTGCCCTAATAACGGCTAGGATGTTGTCACGCTCGGCCACTGCATCCGACAGGCGCTTCATCACAACAACACCCACGGCATCTGCTCGGACATAGCCATCGGCATCATGGTCGAATGTCTTACAGCCACCGGTCTTAGACAAGAAGCTTCCCCTGCTTAGACCAGCGAACAGATCAGACGCAGTGAGGAAATTGGCGCCTCCTCCCAAAGCCGTATCGCATTCGCGAGCAAGCAACGCTGAGCAAGCTAGCTGAATCGCCGCAGCACTTGAAGAGCAGGCGGTGTCCAACGAATAGCTAGGCCCCTCCCAGCCGAAGTGGTAGTTGAGCCGACCGGGACCGAAAGCACGGATACCACCTGTGATGAAGTACGTATCGACGTTCTGGCTAGCATTGACCTCTCTCCAGTCGTCACTCGTCTGGCCCATCCAGGAGCCAATCCGACGAGTGTTGGTCGATGGGCTGCCATTGGGAGTGTATCCAGCCATCTCCAGCGCCTCATATGTCGTCAGCAGCAGCATTCGCTGCTGGGGGTCTGTCTGGGCCGCTTCTCGAGGGGACATGTTGAACATGCGTGTATCGAAATAGCCTGGTCGGTCTATGAACACTCCGTACGGAGTCAAGGTCGTGTTTCTGATCTTTCCGGTGGGGTCGCAGTGCGTGTCAACGTCGAACCGGTCTGCGCGGATCTTTTCATGGAGATCTCGTCCTTGCTCCAATACCTTCCAGAACTCCTCGAGAGTTTCACTACCTGGAAGACGTACTGACATGCCGACGATGGCAATGGCGTTTTCGGTATCAGGCTCATCCGCGGATGTTTTGAAAGTCACTTCGCTCTTGTCGTCCACTTCAATACCGGTCATTGCTTTTAAAGAAGTGATGATCGTCTTCTTGGAGCTGGTCGGGCCAAAGGAGAGGAGTGAGATGGACGGACTTGCCAGGCTTGCCACCCCCTTGACGGCTTCCTCAAGGATAATGGGCTGTTGTAGAATGTCGTCGGCGACCTGGATCAGTAGTTCGGAGAGGTTGTCGGCAGCATAAGGCAGACCGGACCTTGGCGAGATCAATGGCATGTTGGGCCTGAATGTCTCAAAGGGCGCATCGACGCAGGTCTGGGTGAGTTTCTTCCAAGGTACTGCATCGAGATGCTCCGCGTGGAAGGCGGCGGCGATTGGCAATGGAATAGTCTTTCGCCCTTGAAAGACAGACTCTTGCTGTAGCAGCTCTGCCGTGTATGATGGTGGACCGCTAATGGTCACTGAAGATGCGCTATGTGCGCTGATGTACACTCTGCGGCTGCTCTTTGAGGGCATCCGAGCATTGAATGATGCCACGGCCTCCCGGACTTCTTCCACCGCGACATTGCTCACAAGAGTAGACCAGCTACCCCTGATCTTCGCGTCTTTGGAAGGCTGAATATACCCTGATCGTCGAGATGCTTCCAGTCCAAGCTGGAAGGCCAAAGTCACTGCATGATGTGCGATGTGCTGCAGCTCAGTAATGTTTCGGGAGCAAGAGAAGACAGAGGCTGCGATTGAGCCGGTACAGATTCCCAGAACGGCATCCTGGCCGGGTGTAGATGAAGAGCCGAATTCCAAGGCTCTCGGAAACTGTTCAAGATAGCTAGCAAGGGCACCTTTGTTAGCAAGAAAATGGCCTCCATGCATTTTGCCAGAGTATCAGATCGTCGGCTCACTCACAGGATAACATGGCCGAGTTGAGAGACGCAGCAAAGGGCAGCCTTCAAGGCCGGGCAATGGGCAGCACCATGTTCGACGGCAGTAGCAAGGTCCGTGAGAGAGTCCCATGAAGGAAATGCCTGTCTCTCACGGAAGGACGCTTGATGTATCGCCTTGCGCAGACTATCCGTTGCAGAGCGCAAGAAACGACGCAGTCCGTCCGAGTTAGCTGCGCGTCGACTGAGGTCTTGGATGCATGGAAGAACATCGGCAATCTGGTCTCCAAAGAGATATAGGGCGGAAGACCTGGTTGCGATCATGGTGGAAGGTTACGTTTGGTTGTGCTCTGAATAATTCAATGGTGTTCATGATGGGTTCTTATACTTCTCTCTGTATCTATACAATCTACAGCCTGCGACAAGACCACTCTTACGCAATTCTCCGATAGCTTATTCTGCATTAGCGCCCCGTATCGAGATATTTAAAATTTCACAGTAAGCACTAAATAGCACCTAGGTACTCACCAATCCAACTACCAATTCCACGATTTGAACATTCGAAGTACTTTTTAAGACACTACTAAAGTGTCTATATGCTAAGGTAGCTTAAGAGCTTTAATGAGTTCTTTCAATCATGCTAGTAATTATAGACCAGGAGTATGAAAAAGAGATATTGTAGCCACAAGATTAAGAGTAATTAGGGCTTAGAAATACGTGATCTGGGATGGGTAATGCCAATACCAGCTATTTTGATCTGCGCCAAGACATATCTATATGGACAGACAGTCTATGCAATCTATCTTTAGCGGTATTAGTCCACATTTTGCCACGAGGCTTCCATGCGAGTATCGGAGAAATATGTGCAATCGCTTGCATGCAGGCCCAATTGGCTCGGTTCAGCTTCGTGTTGCCTACTATGCCAAGCAAGATTGTATGAAGGATCGGTCTTAAATTGCCAAAAGGAGACGCGAAGGAGGCATATCACCAACCTTCTGTTTACCCTCTAATTAAAATGACACGGGACAGAGAGATAACGGCAAATCGAGCATGTTGCAGCAGTCTAGAGCACGATTGGCACGTCAGAGTGTGGCTTTTCGCAATACGATCCGTGCATTAGCTTCGCTGCAAGATAGACGATGCCAAGCGTAATATGCTTATGTCGCACATCATCGCTCTATTGAGCCTCGGACCCTAGTTACAGTTCGTCAACTCGAGCTACAATGGAGTGCAATCCAATTCTTTGCCCCTCTTTAGGCTCTCTTTAGGCTCCCTTCCGAATAGAACCGAAGCGGCCTGTCACTATGCGTGCGCTTCTTAAATATCTTGGATTTCAGCCTACGCTCACTTGCTGCAATTGGGTCCCGGGTTTCTAAGTTTCTAGCAAATCATAGCTAATGGATGATTCCACGATGTCCCTGACTTTCGCATCTAGCTCGCTCTACAGCGAGCGCAGCTTTCATAATGCCGTTCCATTTCTGTTTGGCGTCCTCGCCTTGTGGCTCTACCGTACCTGGAAGAAACAGTCGCATGTTCCTGGGCCGTTTTTGGCTTCTATTTCGAACATCCCACGTTTACTTTGGGCGCGCTCTGGCAGTGCACACGAGACTCACATCCGTCTTCATGAAAAGTATGGTTCGCTCGTCAGGCTTGGCCCGAATTCCGTCAGTGTGGGAGATCCGCGCGAAATCTCTAAGATGTACGGTATTCGCTCGAGTTTCGGAAAGGTCGGTCGTGCTCACCTGTCGATTCTTCCTTGTTGATCAAGAAAATGTGATCTGACAATAGTCTAGTCTGATTACTACAAAGTTCTCCAGCCGATGTCGAAGGGCAAGATCATTCAGGGTCTGTTCAACACGCAGGATGACCAGCTGCACCGTTCCATGAAAAAACCCATTGCGGGAATCTACTCTATGAGTAACCTCGTCAGCTTCGAATCTTACGTTGACTCCACCATCGGCTTTTTCTTGGAGCGTCTTGAGGATGCGCAAGGAAAAGCGGGTGGACGGATCGATCTAGGTACCTGGTTGCAGTGGTTCGCATTTGATGTGATGGGCGAAATCACATTCAGTAAGCGGCTAGGCTTTCTGGACGAAGCCAAGGATGTGGATGGTATCATGGGTTCTATCTGGAAGATGTTCCAGTATTCCTGCTGGGTGAGTGAAATTCCATCGCCAGCTTGGCGGCTTTTCGTGACCGTCGCTAATCACGCTGATACATCTGTGACAGATTGGCCAAATGCCATGGCTGGATAAGATCTGGGTCAAGAACCCATTTGTGAGTCGCTTGCTACCTGCAAAGAACTCACCAGTGGTCATGTTTGCTCTGGCACGGGCACAAGAAAGAATAGCCGAGAACCAGGGTTCCGACAGCCAGGATGCCACTTCGTCAGGATACAATTCAAAGGATTTCATGTCCCGCTTCCTGGCGGCCCGAGTCAAGGACCCGAGCATTCCCGAATGGTTCGTGACCGCATGGACGACATCGAATGTGCTGGCCGGCAGCGATACGACCGCAATCATGCTCCGAGCCATCATCTACTTCCTCATCACGAACCCGGTCAGCCTTCAAAAGCTCGAGCACGAGCTGCGCCAAGCCCGGAGCCAAGATCAATTATCCGATATCGTTACTTGGAAGGAATCCCGGAACCTGAGGTATCTGGACGCCTGCGTGAAGGAAGCAGGACGCCTGCATCCCGCCATCGGGCTGACGTTGGAGCGTGTGGTACCGCGTGGCGGGGCCACGATCTGCGGGCAATCCTTTGAAGCGGGGACCACAATTGGCATGAATCCTTGGGTAGTCCACCGAAACAAGGAGGTTTTTGGAACCGACGCCGACCATTGGAACCCGGATCGCTGGTTGGACACCGATACGGAGCGGGTGACGCTTATGGAGAATTGTCTTTTGACAGTGAGTAACTCGGTGACGCTTTGGGCTTGCCTGCAGAGTTGAGACTGATAAGTGACCAATCCACAGTTCGGATCTGGGACTCGAACGTGCATCGGGAAGAATATCTCGTATCTGGAGATCTACAAGCTCATTCCGACGATGTTTGCGCAATACGAGGTAAGAATTCTGAGATTTGCTGTCGTACTTTGGGCTGTGGATTCGCAATGTGGACTAACTCGATCTAGATCCAACTGTGGGACCCGAAACGGGAGTGGAAAATTGAGAACTCGTGGTTGGTGGTTCAGAGCGACTTCTTCATCAACCTGAAACGGAGACAGCCTCATATGTGATGTGGACCCTTGGACTGTCAGAAAACGACTGTACATAACACGGGAGGAGCGAGTCTAGACAATCATATAACACATTTGATCAGTATTGAAACACAGCTCGAGATGCCTCCTTTCCATGTCGACACACACACAAGTAGCTCATAATTCAATCTCCGCATAAATCCATGGACCAGAGCTCTACGCCACGTGTTTCTAATGTCGAATCCTTGTACGGAGTAGAGTGACCCTCATCAGGATAGGCTAGGTGCACGCCCCTACGCTTAACCTCCAAAGGATCTTCAAAGTTCCGGACACAGACCAATTGAGAGCGTCAATGCACTATCCTCAACCTTCCCTAGCTACCGAGGTACCTATGCTGTACCAAACCTTGATCACTAAGGACGCGCCTGCACCTGGGCAGTGCCCAGATGAGGGATTGCACTAATTAGGAAGGCGATGAGTCTGCCGTATTTTTACCACATTTAAGGTTACGATATATATGATTTTTAGTTCTAAAGAATACCGGAAGTTAGTATAATAGAATACTCGAGCACATCATATCATGATATGAATACTATAGCGTATTCAAACGTACTATAATAAGTGAGATGTTTTTCAAACACCCTATTCTAAGAATATTGTAGAACTAATACAGCATGACGGTGACCCCTGCATAGGGGCTCTAGACTCTCCTGCATGAACAGCAAACACGAACTAGGTGGACCAACACTCATGCCAGCCCAGTCTAACTGAAAGAATTCTGGCTGAAGGAAGGGCGGCCGGACGGACGGAAGGGAAGGAATGGCTTGGCCCGGATCGATGGCGGAATCCCGATCCAACACTTCAGAAGTCCCGCCAAGGCGCCGAGAAAAGGCATCAGTAGCTTCTTTTATTACCTTGAAGTGAGACATACGAGGTGTGTCCACCTACAACCCACCAGACGAAGACGACCATACTATTCCTAAAGCGACAATGTAAGTCCGTCGGGCAGAAAACAGGAGCGAGGCTTATCTGGCTTATCCTCACCCCATCCACTTCCCCTTTCGGTAATTAAACTCCGGATCATGCACTTCCCGATGGGGTAATCTGCTGGAGAGATTCCAGATCTGTTAAATGTGTTGTTTGTTCCTTCTGCTGATTGGGCACCGCGAGTCAGCCAGTGCTTTGTTGAAAGGATGTAGTTTGATTAGGGGCACTTGGTCAGTTTGGTCAGTTTGGTTGGGTTATTGGTTTTGTGGATTAGAAGCTCGCTCTCGCAATATATTTCGACTCATTGTCAGTTGTCAGTTTCTTCCCCAAGTTGTTGGCATGTTAACTTGAACATCTTCATTGATATCTTCATCGCTCTGCTCTTCGGTGCTTTCAACTTCGGCCTCAGTTCGATCATATACCACCTCCAATGGCCTCCCAGCCGTCTTCCATGTCCGGAAAAGACGTCGAGTCCGACGCAACGACCGAAAGTCATGTCAAGACAGAGGTAGTGGCAGAAGAGCCACCAAAGCCCGCAGGACCCCCTCCACCACCCAATGGAGGCACGAGGGCATGGCTCCAAGTCCTTGGAGCTTTTTTCTTGAATTTCAACACCTGGGGTCTCTTGAACACTTTCGGCACATTCCAGTCTGAATATAGTACGGGCTTGCTGAGGGACTCGTCGCAGTCGTCAATTGCTTGGATTGGATCGCTGCAGGCGTTTCTGATGCTGGTGATCGGAGTTCTGTGTGGACGCGCTCTCGATGCTGGGTATTTCTACGCGGATATCACCCTGGGTGTCTTTCTCGAGGTGTTCGGCATGATGAGTGAGTTTTGCCATCCATTTACAACGAGAGAAAAATGCTAACCCAACAGTGACTTCGATTTGCAAGGAGTACTGGCAGCTTATCCTGGCCCAGGGTCTGTGTGTCGGCATTGGCGCCGGAATGTCATTCATCCCCAGTGTTGCCATCGTGGGCACGTATTTCTCGACGCGCCGATCCACTGCGCTGGGTCTGGCTGCCACTGGCTCAAGCGTCGGAGGCATCATCTACCCCGTTGTGCTGAGGCGTCTGATCGTCCAGATTGGATTGCCCTGGGCGGTCCGAGTCATGGCGTTCATCATGTTGGGAACACTTCTCATCTCGGTCGCTGTCATGAAGCCTCGCCTTCCGCCTCGCAAGTCAGGCCCGCTGATCAACGTCGAGGCGCTCCGGGACACAGTCTTCGTCCTTTGGCTATTCGCTGCATTCTTCATCTTCATCGGTCTCTACATCCCATTTTTCTATGTTGAACAGTACGGTATCAACCTAGGCATGTCGCAGGACTTGGCTTTCTATATGCTGATCATCATGAACGCGGGCTCGATCCCCGGCCGTATCATGCCATCCATGATCGCCGACAAGATCGGTAACCTGTCGGTTATGATCCCGTCTGTCCTGCTCACCGGTATCTTGATGCTCGCCTGGATTAGCGTGGAATCTCAGTCGGGTCTGATCGCCATTTCGGTCTTTGTCGGTTTGACAAGCGGCTCTATCCAGGCCGTGCTTCCCGCGACGGTCGCCTTCCTTTGTCCCGATCTGTCTAAGCTAGGCACCAACATCGGCATGACCCTCTTTGCGGCGAGTCTCGGATTGCTGATTGGTAGCCCTGTGGCGGGTGCGATTCTGGACCACCAACGAACATCCGGAGGAGATGTGTTCTGGGGTACGTTGACCTTTTCTGCGATCTTCATCTTGGCGGGAGGTGTGTGCTTGATCATTGCTCGTGTGGTCAAGGTGGGATTCGCTTTGAAGAAGGCTTGAGATTGTGTATAGACGGGCACACGATGAACCTGCCAGCATGTCTGAGGCGAGATCAGATCATGACTGCGATAGAGAAGGCAATATAAAATGTAAATCTGCATACTTAATTCAATTGACTAATGACTGCCACAAAACTCTCTCTTATAGACTTCTAGTCGTAGAATCTCGTGGGGATCGTAGAGGCCAATGA